AGAACGCCGGGATGGGGGGTTCATAATTGTAATGTATGGTGGTAACGATAACAATGTACTAATAAAAATAATTAACATGCTAACATCTCAAAGAAAAAAAAAAAAGAATATTCCTTTGAAAAATCGTCTAAATGTTTAGTAGAGATCCATTTTGTCATCTTTTTTCCCAGACTTTTTTCTCTTCTTGCCGCTACTCAACCCACCGTGTTGCGGCGATGATTTTACGGAATTCGAACGATACAAAGGATTATCCTCCATGCGCATATTCTCAACCTCCGACTCGTCAGAATCATCTGATAGATTATTGATGATCGATTCCTCGTCATCGTCGAGGGGTGTGGTACGGGGATATTTACGGTGATTCATACGAACGGAGTTGGAAGACCTGCGGGAACGGGGGTGCGAAATGGAGGATGATTGACTGTATGGGTATGCCTCACCATTCTGCTGGGACGGCCAACCTATCGGTGGCATACCATCTAATTGAACATCGTCCATGGAACTTGATCCACCGCTGGCCACACCAACAGCTCTCAGGCGTTCAACCCATGCTTCAGCACGCTCCACAGTTTCACCAAAAATGCCACCTACCCTACGGAGCATATCAAGGGATTCAGTGGCTAAGCTGAGCAGACGACGCGCGTAATCAGCAGTTTGATGATTTGGATAAGTGTTGATAGGGGCCAACCGCGGAGATGAGACTGGGGAAGCGGTTGCGGAAAAATCGCTGTGATTGATGGTGGCCCAACGAGTGGGTAAACTCAATATAAAACTCCTTACATTCTGTTTCGCTTGATCTGGCAAGCATTTACTAGCGTATTTGGAAACTATGTCAATAACCTTCCGAAGGTTATCGACAATTCCCTTTTTAATTGCTGCTAGTGTTGATGGGGCGCTCGATTGTATCATGACGCCGTCTGCCGAGGGATTTGAGAGTTTAAAAATGATATCACGTAATATGGCAATTTGATGTTCTATGTGTTGAGTCGCATACTATTTTTTTTTTTTAAAAAAAAAAAAAGGAAAGAAATGATAAGATAAAATGTCGCACTCACGGAGAGTCGCCCACGATCGAACGAATTCAAAAACGAATACTCACTTGTAACCATTGTAAGCAATATCGAAGACTCTTCATTGACTCTTCGCTTACAACAGCACGAGCAGTTCCGACGGCAGCACCGGCCCCAACGAGCACCTGTTGCCAACGAGGAGTATAGGACGTTGTAGTCGTTGATACTGTATTATTATTATCATTATTATTATTATTATTATTATTATTGTGATTATTATGATTATTATTGCTATTATTATAAGTGTAGGAAACATAAGAAGCGCTATCCTGTGAACCGTTTGAATTTGACACTCTATGCATTCGCGATGGGGGGCTTCTGTAGGAAGGCGGCGAATCTCTCGCGGGCTCATCTCGTACTTTTCTTTTCCGAGATTCATTTTCAATGTCACCCCCCATCAAATTATCTTCATTATAAGGTCCATACGATAGATTATCCCCATCAGTAATGGCCGCGTGTAAGTTATTACTATTATTGTAATTATTATTATTATTGTGATTGTTACTATTAGAATTGTTATCCATCATTTCTTCAAGTTTATCCAAACCACGACACGCGTAATGATCTAACTGGGCCAATTGGGGAATCTTTTCAATCACAGGCTTAGATATTCTAGATACCATTTCAGTTGTATATTTGATTAATGGTGATGAGTTTTTACCCTGTTCATAAGCTCTCCGCATAAACGGAAATCGGGAGATGAAACCGTCCGAGTTTGTCGATCCTTCTTGAGGTAGTTGTGTCGTTTCTAAAAGGAAGGAGGTATGAAGTGAGAAGTTTGGTTAGACAAGAACGAGAGGGTGTAAAGGACACGGTTGACAAAGTGACAGATTGCAATGAAACTTTTAGAGACTGCGTACCGATTGGTGGGAGAGAGGTTTGTTTCATGTTTTCGGTTTCTTTCATTTTTTCTAATACCGCTGCGGCATTTTTAACGTCTTCGTCGGGGTCATTACATAATTGATTTATGGACATTCTAGAGCTATTGTTACTGTTGGTATTATTATTATTGTTGTCGTTGTCGTTCAATGCACGAATTGGAGGTAGGGAAGGAAAGACATCTTTTTCTTGCTTAATGCGAGTTATGTCGCCATTGCTAGAATTATACTCGATGCCGTTTTCAACAGTAGTAATTGGTGGAAGAGTTGGTGGTGGTGGAGTGTACTTCATTTTTTTTTTTAATTTTTTTTTCTACTTAATAAATTTTTTTTTTCGATATTATGAAAAGGTTTACGTGAAGAAATAGAACCCGAAATATAGGAGACGAGTCAAGAGTGTAGATAAAAAGCGAAGAACGAATAAAAAAAACTAGTATCTATTTATAATATACGATATACGGAGTTAAAAGTACAAGAGTTGAAGATAGATAGAATACACAGGGAAAGAGAAAAAAAAAAAAAGATTTTTTTTTTTATATCTCCAGAATGTCTCTTTGGTTAAACAAGTAGTCAGTTAATAAAACAACAATAATAAAAAAAAAAAAAAAGTTCAAAAAGGCATGCGAAAGAAGGATGGGGAAAGTTGTAGAGGAATTAGAGAGGATAAAAAAAAGGATGACGGCGCAAAATTGTTTTGGTTGCATTATGCAAAGGGTGCACGATATTCATATGAGTTTAGATTCTGAAAATCATCAATTTAAACAAACAATATATAAAAAATAGTGTATATATAATACTCAAAGATATATGTAGGATGTAATAACACGGTGACAAACAATATTATGAGATGGTCAAACGCATATGAAAAAGTTATTAACATGTGGGCTGACTAGAATATAAAATTTGGAACATGTGAAGTCAGCAGGTCAAAACGCTGTAAGACATAGTTTTTAAACTGAATTTGGTAAAAGCCACACTTCGCACGTTTTCAGAACACCGCGATAGAGTAACACACACTGCACTAAGGGTGACACAATAATATCAATAATATAACAACTTTTTGAAGTCAACAATTGATCATGTAAAGGGAACAATTCGTGTGATACACATACGTTCGCATGTAGAAGCATGAAGCATAATAACCGAAACCACAACTGCCTAAAAACCATAGCATTAACCGTGGCGAGATCAACGTACTATAATTATAATTATTATATTATCATCATAATTGTTGCAGTATTAATTACGCTTCGAACGAGCGAATGATATTCTCGAGAACCAAAGGAAGCAAAGATGAGCCGAAGATGACGGGATAAACTAGCCTCCCGGTTATTTCTTAATACATATATATAAATACCAATTAGCATGCGACGATTTGGTCAATCTTCGAAATGCCATGAGTCATCTGTCGTCCCTTCACGTGCAATTTTATTCACTTTAAGTGAATCCCTTTTTTCTTCTTAAGAAAAAAAAAAAAAACCGCTTCGCCACACCAAGATTCATCAGGAAAAGTGCGCGTGCGTGTGTGTGCGTGCGTACGCCATTAAGGGTATTGTTGAATTTAAATTGTTGTTGTTTATTGTATCTAATTGACAGCTTTCAAGGAATATCGGTGGATCCTGATTTAATGATTTAATGTGTATATATATACAGTATAAGTGTGTACACATGTATATATATACACTGTACATTTTATGAGATCTGACCCTTTATATATAATATCATGGCGCCATATGTGTGTGTGGTCCCTGGAATTATATAGAAATTACGTCAAGATCATACAATCTCCGGATTTTTTAAAATAATTTTCGGGTTTAGTGACGCACTGGTTAAATCACTCACGACACCTGTGATTGACGAGACCAAGATAGTCCGATAGTCCGTCGACATGTTAACTTGGGATTGGCAGAAAAATCTCAAATGGTTAAATTGGCCACCAGACTCTATCCTTTTCCTAGAATAAGCAACAGGCGGTGGAGAATGAAGAAAGAAGAATGGAGTGACATGAGATTCTTTTTTTTTTTTTTTTTTTTTTTTTTTTTTTTTTAAGGTACAATGGAGGATTTACTTTGGGCATCCGGTCAACGACAAACAAAATAAAATTTGCCCAATAACAGTTGAATTCAATTGCATACACACGATGGCATAAATCATGCACCTTGCAAAATATGTGATTTATGATTTTGTCGCGGTTGCTTGTTCACGGAAATATACAGTAATTCCTTTAACACCGTTAAATTTGTAATAAAGTTTAGATTTCATAATGAGCTGATAACCGATAAAAACACCTGATAGATAACGAAGCGGCCAATGGCAAATTGACGATCGAGAGGCGAATGCATGGTGACGTACATCAATCATTCGCTCGCTTATCTTTAAGGAAAAGTGATGCGCCTTTAAAATATTTGCGGGGTTAGTTTTCTTGTAAAAAGGTAATTCGCGAAGTCGAGCAGAGACAGAAGGAAAAGGATGAATTGGGATAAATGGGCAAATGCAAAGGCAATCAAAAGATTCTTTAACGGTTAGCGAGATGTCTGCAAGGAATTAACATGGATAAATTATTGCCGCATCCTTCTGATAATTTGGATTTACTTGCACACCAGTCACACCAATCAATTATTGGAATCCCGATAGACTATTTGCATCAACGTTTGATCCACCCAATCGAAGGACCTTTTCTAGAATCGCTGGGAAAAAAAATCGCATAATCTATTTGAATGGATTAATTAATTGATCGCAGGTTGAATGAAAAAAATTTTTTAAGAAGTAAATTTATTGCAAAAAATGTTTCAGCCGGTTATACAAAGAAGGTAAGCCTCTTTGAACCCTAGAGATAAAGAAAAAGCCTTTCTCACCCACGCAGGGAAAAATAGTTGTGTCCAAATATTGACCATTCCTTTATCAGTCATATTGTCGTTGTTTGTAAGATGATTGTTTGATTGATTCACTTGTCAAAAAAAAAAAAAAAGATATTCTCGGATGTTTCCAATGCTCTGAGTCGGAGAGGGTCCTTTCTTTAATTATTTATATTTGGTTATATTGTATTGGACAAGTAAATCATCCTCCCGAGAGGGTTTCCCGTAATTTCATCATACACCAACGTCTCACGCCTGAACATTGGAAGTTAGGGAGAAATGCCGTGATTCATTGCCGCTGGTATCAACATGTCGTTAAAGAGGCAGGGGTGATAAGTGCATACCTCATTCCTGCACAATGTAAATCTGTAATTAAATCTGTAGTCAAATCAGGTGTCTCCGTGGTCACGTTCCGTTGGAAGAAAGGGACCTCAATAGATTTGACGCTGTTGTACCATTTATGTCATTGAATCCGATATTTGTAATACATGACCAAAAAACCTTCTAAGAACTGCAACCAATTTGTCAAGCCTTTATAATGAAATTTATATGCATCACCGTGTACCACCGTCCTTGCTTTTGAAAAACAACAAAACCCTCGGAACCAATTTCAATTCGATATCAGATGACTATGAATACAAAGTGTAGCTTAAATCATGTTTTCTTTTTTCTTTTCTTTTGTAAAACAAATAATTCACACACATGCTTATCTTAGAGCATCCACACTATAGCCAAGGGTATCGTAATATTTATACAATATTTATCACACAAAAAATAAATAAATAATAAACTTATCTCACAATTTAGTAGTTTAATTCTAATCCAATTAGGCTTGGTAGAAATAAAGAAAAAAAAAAATAATACAAAATTTATTCGTGTTTGACGATAAAATATTGGATTCCCTTTTAAATCGCGTATCCATATGTTGTAACGAACCGGTTTGTGAATGTTACAATAGAAAAAGAAACAATGAGTCAAAATCATCGGCTCGCCAAGCGGACATGATAATCATGATGTTAATAATAATAACATTAATTAAAGGATTGACGATTCTAGGTGTGCGATCACATGTCCAGGCGAAATTAGGTTAACCGAAACATCAACTTAATTGATCGTAAATGAATAAATAAATAAACTTTAGGGAATTAAAATATAATTCAAATTAAGAACAATCGACAATTTTTTTAACCATCTATTAAGAATGCTTATTTTAGTTAACAAAAAATACAAATCAACGCAGTAAACAGCTTCAGAAAACAAATTTTTTAAAACATCGTTGATATCTAACAAACATTTCAATCTTTTATTTTATCATCAGATATTTGAAGATATAAATCGAGATGATTTTGATTTTATTTTTTTTGTCAAATGACTAAAAAATTTTTTTTATTTGTTTAAATAATAAAATTTATATAATTTTTTGATTAATGAATAAGCAACGAACCTTGTTTTTTAAAAAAATATATGCGTATATGTTTTATTTTTTTTAATTTTCTAACAAGTTTTATTTACTTTTAGCTTAAATCCGAAATTTTTATTTTATATAATTACAACATACAAAATAAATTAATAATATAAAAAATTTAAATAATTTTTAGTTAAAAAAACATTAAAAATCAATTTCAAATATTTTGTTTTGATAATGATTTTTAAAAAAAAAAGTTTGCAATTTTTAATAGTTAATTAATTAAATAATTAATTTTAAAAATACGTAATTATGTAAATAGGTTTAATAAAAATTATTATTAAATTTAATTATTACAAAGTTAATATTTTGCTATAATTTTTTTAAAAAATAATAAGTAATTATAAAAAACTTGCTATTTTTTTAAATAAATGATTTTAATTTGATTATAGACTAAAAAAAAATAATAAAATAATATAAATAATATTGTAATCAAAATAATTTTGATTTAATATTCAAACAGTAATTTTTAGAAAAATTAAAAATTATATAGAATTATTTGTTATTTTAAAAATAATCTTTTATAAATATTATAAAAATAATAAATAATTTTTAAAAATCTTTATAATTGAAAAGTATTTAATAAAATAATAATATTTTATTAAAACACAAAATTAAAAATACAAGTAATTACAATAATAAATTATTCGAAAACTAACCAATAAATTTTTTAAAAATTATATAATTGGCTACTATTTATATAATATTTTTTATAATATATTATTTAGGCTGTTTAAATTATCTAAACTACTGAATTTATATATTGTAATATTAATAAAAAATTAATAAAAAACAAGCAAAATAAAATTTATTTATTTATTTTATCATAAATTCTTTTCTCTTAAAAAACAAAATTCTTTGAATTTAAAATTTTTACAAATTATTTCAATAGTTTTTATTAATTATTTTAATAATATATAGTGCCTTATCAAAATATTGTAAATACCTTTTAAACTTTTATTATTTGAAATTGAACAAGTAAATATAACACAAAATTTTTATCACATGTTCAAAAAGTTTTAAGGTATTAGTTATTAAATTTTTATTTAATTTTATTAAATTGCACAAAAGTTATAAAGAAAAAATCAAAAATTTAATTTTTTTCTATTAACCAAAAATTTAAGTAAAAAAAATTAATAAGATTTTAATATTTTGTAAATTCTCTCTTGATAACAACGCAAGTGACAATCTGATCAGGCATACTAGTAACCAACCAATAACAATATTTAAATGATATTCTAGATCACAACTTTTTAATAAGGTTATTTAACTTTTTAATATTATTTGGCTTCAGCTCGCAACATAAAGATTTTTTAACTTTAGTTTACAAGTTTTCAATTGGATTAAGGTTAAAGCTTTAAGGAGACCAATCTATCAATTTAATTTGTTTTTTTTTTATGAATTCTTTTACAGGTTTTGCAATATGAGGTCTTGCATTGTCTTGTTAAAAGATGAATGACCACGATCACTCAATGAAAAATTTTTTAGAATGGAAAGAATATATTTTTGGAATGTCTCAACATATAAGGTACTGATAACAGAAGATTCAAGTGGAACAAGAGGCCCAATTATAAAGGTTGGTAACTTGAGTAAGATTAAAATGGTGGTTGCCATTAGTAACTAAATTTTTTAAGTTTTTGTAATTAGTAAAAGAAAGAATCTTGGAACATCCGGTTCTTTTCTTTTTTGCCTCAATAATATTTAGTTAATGAAACCCACTTACAACATTCTACATGACAAATTTACTGTATTCAACAATAGTTAAAATAGCACAAACCAAATTTTCTCGCTGGTGATCATAAACTATCACACTTTTTTAGCTTTTCATCAAATCTCTGTTGCTATTCATTGTCCATGAGAAGATAATTTTTATTTATTTATTTTTTTTTAAACTAGCTTAATCTTGCTTAGCAAACTTTATTAAAGTTAATATTTACATATATTCGTACATATTTTTATATATAAACTATGCTATAACATTAATTGATAAGTGTATGCTAAACTATATCAAGGTTTTCTAGATATCGGCTGTTACTATCAACTTTTTCTAATGGATAGAGGTTGAAACTAACATGCCAAGGCATTACTATTGTTAATATCACTAGTATATAAATTAAAATATTTGTTTCTCGTTATTTTGTTTATGTTTTTAACCTATCTTTCCAGCAATTTCCTCCCTAGGTTCTTTTTTCTATTTGCTATTATTTCTTCTTTTTCTCTGTCTCTTTCAATTTCTGTTTGGTATGATCTGCGTCATTGCTTTCTTTTGTCTGCTCTGCTGATATTGTTTATTTCTTTCCATTTATGATTTCTTTACATCTTTTTTTCCATAACTCGTTGATTACTTTTGTTGTTCTCTCAACAATTCTTCTGTATACTTCTTTTATTTTTTCCTTTGCAAACTGATATATACTGTATATTGGTATACATGTGGCGTAAATTATTTTGCTGTTGACTCAATTCCCAAAATCCTCAAAAATAATTGCATCATGACTCAATTATTTATATGTTTTAATAGTGACTCAATTAATTGCGTCAAATAATTGCGTCAATTGCATCAAGGATCTACAAATTTCAGCAACATGTATATATATCGGGTTATCTCTTTAGTCAGAATTCCCCTTACTATATAGTTTCTTGTGCACTCCAAGTTTGTAATTAATGGCATTTTTAGTTTTGAGTCTTCTTTTTCTTTTCCTTTGTTGCAATTTCTTTGATACCCTTTGATTTCTTCTTTTATTATCTTTTTGTATTCATCTAGAAGATAATCTTTATTAAGTTAATTATATCATATTATTATATAACTGTGTCCTTTAATATTATATAATTTTACTTATATGCCATACAACATTTGAGTGAAGTTTGAAATGATTTTAACAAGAATTTGATTTTTTATAAATTTCGATTTTTTAAAAAAAAAATTCAAGATCAATTATTAGCTAGTTCCAAAAACTGCAAGTTGTTATGCTTTTTACATAACTTTTGTGCAACCTAACAAAACTGCATGAAATTCTAGCAAGTAATACCTTAAGATTTATTAAACATATAACAAAATTTCGTGTTATATTTACTTGTCCAATTTCAAATAATAAAAATTTAAAAAGTATTCACAATATTTTGGTAGGGTACTGTAATATATAAACAAATATTTTATTAAATAAATTTGTTTTAATTCATATAACAAATTGATAATATTTTTTATAATTGAATAAAAAATATTTTTGAATATAAATTTTTTAAATTTGTTATAAGTTTTTTATAATCTTTAATGATTTTTTAAGTAATATTTTATTGAAACCTATTAAATTTTGACAATCAATCATATAATCATTGCGATTTTATGATTAAATCATAAAGATTCAATCATAATTTAATAGTTTTTACTATGTTATAACAAAATCTCAACCATTTAGTAACAATTAAATTATTGTTTTAATAATAACATCGTCACTAACTCTTTTAAAAAAATAATAAACAAATCATAACTATATTGTAACAACTTTTAGTTACAAAATAGTAATAATATCATCACTATAATTATTAATAAATTGTTATTGTAGCAATATAATTTTGAGATAACTTTAATTAA